GAGAATAAATAATATATTAAAGATTTTCTCTTTTTAGGGAGAAGACAGAAACGGGTGCATGGAGAAAAGGAAGGCAAAGTGGGCATCAGATTGACCCAGTTAAGTCAATAACCTGACATAAATAATGTATTCTTAAACTGGATCAACAAAACATCTAGCAGAGGACTCAACAGCTCTATTGCAAAGTTTACCTTTTCCAACTGACAAGCATTTGTCATCAGAAGGGCAGTTTTCAGTTGCCCTTTTGGTAGCACAGCTCTTCATCTAGATTCTTCACAGCTATCTAGCTATTGTGTCAGGAGAAGCAACATCACAGAGGAAGAGATGTACTTACTTACCAGAAATAATTATTGTTCAAATTAATACTTTTAGCGACTCTTCTTCCTCACTTTCATTTTGAAGCCTAGTTGATCCTCTGGAAGTAGAAGAGGAAAAGAAAGAGCAGTTAGTTTTTATCCTTTTTTACTTTATCCATATTTCCATCCTTTAGCTATTATACGCAACATTCAAATGATGCATGCACACATTCTTATTAAAAATATCACTCAGAATTTTGTATGATTTGTGATTAGACAACTGACTTGTAGCACAACTTTTATGAAAACAAAAATAAATACATGTGAACAAATTGTTTTTATACTGAGGTTCAAAAAATAAAAAAGTAACTGCCTATTTCACTTCCAAAAAACTCAAAGGGAAGTATAAGCTCTCCTTGTGGCTGGGAAAATAAACGTAGGAAGTGAGAGAGAAAAAACAGTTGATTAATCCTTGGGCTAGACATAGCCAGGCTTTAGGAAAAAACATTGAGGAAAATTATAGGACCAAGATCCTAAAATCTGGTCCCGGATGCTAAAAATAGGAAACTACTCAAACTGAAACACTTGCCAAATGGAAAAGAACAGGCTGTGCCTTTAAACCGGATGTAAGCAAGTTACCTTGCTCTGTACTACTTGTTTATTTATGTTTGTATGTAACATAGTATACTTGAAAATACTTCAAAAAATTATTTCAGAACAATTATATACTACTGGACTATGTGCTGATTGTTGGCCATCTAACAGGAAAAGCAACCAAAAGCTGCAAATAATCTTCAAAACAGTAATAAGCAGGATGTTGAAAAAGTTAGTTTGTGAACCTGACTTCAAGGAAGGGGACAAAACTGGGGAACCCTGTGAAAAGAAAATAAATAGGAAACCAATTAAAGTAACAGCAGTACCAGGAACAGGAGTGAAGAGAAAAAGACAATAAACGCTGCCAATAGTTGTCCTTCACTGCAATTAGAATTCTGGCAAATTCATGTTATTTTTGAAATGAATGTTATTAAGCGACTTTATATTTCCAAGAGAAGCTTCAGCAGCTGTACTGCCAAATGAGCGAGTTCAACGGGCAACCCTAAAAAATCTCACAGGTTGCAACAGAGCAGTAAGGATTCAAAAGAAGAACAAGACTGTATTCTGTACTTTTTTATTCATGTGATAAATTATTTAAAATAATCAGCAACTACAAGGCCAGAGCCCACAAACTTCCACTGAGGGAATTCCTGGGGGAAAGAATGGCCATTTTTCATTTCCATTGGAGATGCATAGTTGGAGTACACTTCAGCTACGGTGAAATACAACACTGTTAGCCTGTGTATAGGCAGTAACATGAGCCTTCTAACTAGTTCTTTTATTGCACCTCTCATCAAATTAACTACACCACCATTGCACAAAAATGAAGAGGTGAAACTATCAGCTAAAGGCCAGTCCATGTGCCAAGCAAAACTGAGTACGGGGCCTTTCTGTTCCAAGAGCTAGCCCTACAGTGTCCCTATGGGAGCACTACCTAAAATGGCGGTTCCTTTTAATTTTATATGAGTCATTGTGCTGTATCTTCTTAAACTTCCCTATCCATAACCCCAATAACAGATAAAAACTGTATATTATGTGAACAATATATGTGGGAGACCAGATTTTGACAAACTGGCTCATTGTAAACAAAGTAGAAATGAAAAAAAAATTATTAAAATTACATGTTGATTTACCTGTAAAGAAATTGAATTACAAGCAGTAACAAAAGGTCAGAGTCCCACTGGGCCGGACAATTTACCATGCCTACCAAAAAGCTCACCAAAATTTTCAGCTGAGGGACACTAAAATAGATTAAAAAACACAGAGAACAATGAAAAGAAAGCAGGTGTGTTTGGGTTTGTTTTTTTTTTCACACTGACACACAAATCAGAGTGAAGTAACTACTCAACAGTTGTTGACAGAGTTGAGGAGAAAAGAAATGAAGTTCTAATTTTTTTTTTTTTTATATCTTTACTCCATGCAAATTCTTCTACAAAGTGAATAACTCCAAACATTACAAAGTAGAGCAATCCACAAAGAAGTAACAAATGCCTTACTAAAGTCAAGGTGCAAGAGACCAGCAAATTTTCTTCTCTCCATAAATCTACTATTATGTTGCGGGGGGG